ATCTTGTCAATCTAAGTTCTGTACTAACTACCCGATTACCCTACTTATCCTCTATAGGGGGTGTCTGCAGCACCCTACGGTGCAGTCCTATACGTCCCAAGTACAGGGGGACTTACCTAGGAGTCCCTGTTCGGGCGCCAGATGCTGGGGTCCAACCCCAGCAGGTCCAGGGGTCCCCAAAGGTGTGGACGGAGTCGGCGAAGAAGGAATGACATGGAGACAGCCTTCAGTTGATCAGCAGCCTAGTCAGGACCTCTAGCCAGGATCTCCAGCCAAAGTTCTGGTTAGGATCTGATGTTTATTGTCTTGTTACATCTGTATTTATACCAGTTGATTTTAATCCTGTCAATTTCTATTGCAAAGGTTAGGGCACTTCTTATCTCCATTCCAGGGAGTAAAGATTATGTAGCTTAAGCGTGATTGTTTGTAGTTAAAGTGATTAACTACCCGCCTGGCACTTAGTTAAGGGGTTGTATCCCCTCCCTAACCTCAGGGGAAAATCCCCACCTGGGGAAACAACCTTTCTCGGAGAGGTGACCTTGGTTAAAACACATGGCGCTAAAGAGAGCAAACATATTAAGAACAATATGCTATATATGCCAGGTCCCTTGAAACATATGCTGTGCAGATGTTTCTTTCCTGCAGCGACTGTGTCAAGCAGCAAGGATGGACTGGCTTCTGGCATTTCTCTCTCTCCCTCTCCTTTCCTCTCTCTGAAATCAATAAAAACATTAAAAATATATGCTGCTACTGTTATCATTTATTCTTCAATTTCATATTTTAAGATTTTAAATAAATTATCTTCTCTTTCACATTCACAGATCACTGAGAATTTGCAACACAGATGCCAGTTCCTTCCTGCCGTGGCATTTACCTTGCTCTTTTCTCTACCTGGAACATTTTATCCTCAGAAATCTGCTGGCTCCCTCCCTCTTTCAAATCTTGAGCAAGGAAACCTTCTCTGACCACGCTGGGAAAAATAGCTCTTTGCCCAAAGAGCATTCCCTATCAGTTTCTGTTTGATTTTTCTCCAAAGTATCTACTTTCTTATTATATGTTATAAATGATCCATTTATCTTATCTATTGTCTATCTTCTCCACCCTTATATAAACTCGAAGAAATCAGGAAATTTGGTATATTTTGTTCTTTGCACCATTCCCTTTGCCTAGTCCCTAGAACAAGGCCACAGGGGTATAAGATATTCAGATGCCCTTATTTAAATTGATGTTTTCACTGTCTTCTTATTGAGGGAGAGCCAGCCCAGGGCCCAGGCATTCTCTACTTCTACCATTACTTAAACACCTTTCTTCTATACTCCATTGTCAGAAACAGTTAGTTCATGGGGCTTCCTTTCCAAAATTTTTCACACATACTCACATTATATACTTTATTTCCCAGTTCTCACAGAGCAAGACCAAATGTGATTGGAATAGCTTCTATTATTAGAAAAACTCCAAACTCCTTAGTGTAATTTGATAAAAATTTTGTCTCTTGTAACATTCATTCGTGCTCTGGATACTTTACTCTGCTAATCAAACATTATCCAATTTAAGGCTCACAATACAAAGGGGTACACACTACTATCCCTATTGTACAGAAATGGGGATAGTTCAGAGTGTCAGGAACCTGACACATGGCTAGTAAGTCCCATGAGGAGTGATTTGAACTTAATGACATCTCTCTCCAAAGTCTACGTCCTTGGCACTTTGCTATGTCGCCTCTTCCACTGTGGAAGATCTGACATCATTTCCAAAGAGTCTTGAAGTCTAAAACCACATTCTTTTTTTTTGAGTCCTTAGAGACATATTAAGATTTAAGTTGCATCCAAGTATCAAATGATTTAAAAAGTTGACTAAGTAATAGAGTCAACAACTGACAGTGAGCCATTTTCAGAATATAGACAAAAGAATACAGACAAAACTGAAAACAAAGGAAGGGAGAGAAAAAACACTTGCGTCAGCACAGATTCTCTATACTAAGAAAGAAATTAAAATTAAAATTTCCCATGTGTGGGAAAACAAAGTCTTCTGAATGAGTAATATCAGATCGCATATAATAATGCTCTCAGACTTAGAGTTGAATTGCCATCAATGGATTCTTGAGGGGCACATTTTCCTGAAAAATCAATGTGCATATTGCCTCTTTCTAAAGAAAAAAAATGCTCAGTCTGAAAGATGATTACTTGGATCCCAGCCAAGGAGGCTACTAGTTTATAGGAGCACAGCCTATATATTATTCCTGCATTTTTATTGAGATCATTATTTTAGCCTCACAAATACCTTTCAAAATCTATTTCCACCTCTTCCCTTTTGGCTTTCTGAATAGTATCAGAGCTCAACTTCTCCACTTTTATAATATGCTCTTCAGTTTAGCATTTTATCTTCAACAATAACATCTAAAAAGTAGCAACCTAATCATAACAGAAAAATACCATCAGGTTGAGTTGAATGTATTATTTAAGTAACTTCCAACAATCTCCAAGGATATTTAGTATCTGAAGAATCACATCATTCTCCTATTCAAATATATACTTATATATACCTAATGTTTACCAATTATAGGTTTCTTGAAGACAGTAATCATGTGCCTAATTGGCAAATCACTTTATCACATACTTCAAATTGCACTATTGATGACCAAATTGTCTTAATTGACTAAATTGCAATACACAAATATAATATTTGAAAAGTAGAAAAAAAAAAACACTAAAGATTTCAAGGTAGCAATTATACCTTAGTAAAAAAAACAAAAACCAAACCTACAAAATCTAGTATGAAAAGCAATTCTATTTCCTCGTGATCTAGGGTGAATATTCAAAAGGCCCCTTTCTTCATCTGCAATTGACAAGGCACCATTTGTGCAGGTTATAGCAGAATCAGTATACCAATCTCACTCAACTCTAATTGCCCTATGTCACAGAGCAGGGAGATGTAGAATCAAGTTTCAGCTTTAGCTAAAGTTATTAACTTCCAGGCCCCTAGAATCAGTGCCTGTTCCAACATGTCAGAGAAGCTTGTCCCAAACTATTTCTGCAAAGCTCTTATGAAAGATGAGATTTGGGGGGGCCCTTGGTACAGGGAAAAGAGACATTCCAAACTATTGTGGAAGAGGGGTGGAAATTCCTTAAGGATCTACTAAATACAACAGTATCTGAAATTTCATTACACCAAATGGATTTCACGATATTACATTTATTTTGAACAGAAGCAGGTGGCCAAAAACAAAAATGTGTTCATTAGGAACCCATTCTCAAGGCATATCTATGTGCAGTGAAAATAAGCACTTCCCAAAAGGAAATAAACAAATAAAAATCATAGTTGACCTACAAAAGTAAAGCACCACAACAATGACAAGATAATTTATTCTTATCTTCAGACACCATAATGAAGCTTGAATTCACAATAATTCTATTTATTTATTTATTTATTTAAAATCCTCACCCAAGGATATTTTTCCTATGATTTTTAGAGAGAGTGGAAGACAGAGGGAAAGATAAAGGGAAATATCAATGTGAAAGAAATACATTGATTGGTTGCCTCTTGCATGAGCCCCAACCGGGGCCCAGGCCGGGAGGAGCCTGCAGTCAAGGTACATGCCCTTAACCGGAATCAAACGTGGGACCCTTTGGTCCGCAGGCCGACATTGAGCCAAGATGTCTAGCGAGGACAATAATTCCAGTTATAACTGTTCATTTACTCTCTTGACATTGGTGATATCACTACAAAGACTTAACTAGATCATTTTGTTGTTGTTGTTAATCCTTACCCGAGGATATTTTTTTTCATTGATTTTTAGAAAGACTGAAAGGGGAAAGGGAGGGTGGGTGGGAGAGAGAGAGAGAGAGAAAGAGAGAAACATGGATGTGAGTGAGATACATTGATTGGTTGCTTCCTGCACGTGCCCCAACCCAGGGCCAGGGATTGAACCTGCAACAGGCATATGCCCTTGAGTGGGAATCAAACCCAAGACCCTTCGGTCTGTGGGGTTGTGCTCCAACCACTGCTCCAAACACTGGCCAAGGAGACTTAACTAGATCTTGATTGAACTTATGTTCATTTTAATTTGAAGCCATCTTATTAAGATGATCCTGATTGCTAACTTGCTGAGAGTTTGCCACATTCACTTAAGTGCTTGGCATTTATTTGTACTTTTAATCCTCACACCAAGTGCATCAGAATTTACCTCAAGGGATTATCCTGAGGGCTAATGAATTGACATATGCAAAATGTTTAATTCTGGCTCATAATAAGAATTTGAAAAGTGCTAACTATTTGGTAAATAGAATTATTATTCACGTGTTCCAGTTAGAGCACTTCCAGAACCCACGCTCTGTCCATATTCTGTGTTTAGTATGAATTCTATGAAATCATAAATCATATGCATAAGAGATGACTCACATCTCTTCAATGTCCGATTCTCTTCCAATACAATTCCGCTCCCTTGATCTCATTTCACACTAACCTCCACTTGATACCCTCCCTGACAGTTTGTTTCCTTGCTGCAGTGACCTTTGGGCCCCTGTGCAAGCTCTTTCATACTTCGGGAATAACTTTCAGGAAAGCATATTGCATCTTGTGTCTAATTGTTTCTCTCAAGGTCTACCTATTTTCTGAAGCTTTCAAGGGTTTGCTTCATCTCTTTTCAATCTCTATATAATCCCTGACCTCTTAATATTCTTCATTTTTTTCTTTGTATTGAGAACAAAGCTTAGAAACACATGTTATTCTCTCTATTGGATTCTTAGGAAGCAGCAACTTTACCTGAAATCTCAGTTGTTCTCTACAAAGCCCCCATTTGTTATAAATTGTAAGCTTCAAAGGATGCCTGCACCAAGAAGCTGCATCTCTGGCCAACACACTCCAAAGAAGGATACTCTTATCAAATGAAATTAATTTAAAAACTTGATTACAACTTTCAAACCCCTAAATATATTAAATATTACATACTTGTGAATTACAGTCCCAAGAGTCTAACTGCTTCTTTTCTCTCCATTGAACAGGTCTGAAGTTCTAAAGCAAAAGCATACCTTCTATCCATCAGTAAGTTGTATGTTGTGTGTCTCCTAACTGAAGTAGAGTGTCCAATTACACAAGGAGTGCACAGTGTTCAAATAATAAATCGCTGTGGTATTTAGAAAGTATTGCGCCATGAATCAAAACCTCTATGAATATCATATTTTACTTATGTTACATCAGAGTGACTGTGAAATATTATACACATTTTCAATATGAAGTTATGTAAAAATACCCTTATACTAGATTTATATTTGATGCATATAACTATGACAGTCATACATGCTAGAAAGATTTCTACACTAGAGAGTGAGTGTGATAGAATAAGAATAGCCCTCACTGCCCATTCTATACCAAGTACTAATGAGACATTAGACAAATGGTCTCTATATCAATTTTCTTATCTACAAAATGGGTGGGTTGACACCATCCTGACTTGTTTCTAAGTTCTGTCAAAAGTCCCTATATATTTTCAGAAGATTGGTAAAATATTATTCATAATTTAGTTACCATATTGCATATTTAATATCTATGGTGTTCATACTTCATAATTGAAAATTAATGCTATAGAGCTACACTCCTGATACAATTATATCATATCTTATGCTACTCTAAGCAGTTTTGTGAGTTATCCTACTTAGAATGTTTCTATAATAAATATTTCCATGATCTTTATAGAAAAAAATCTATATATTAAGAAAACTTTAGGGAACAACTGATAATGTACAAGTGTTGCACAGAACTTTTCAAGTGGGTATTTTAAAAATTTAATTATTTCTTTAATTACAAAAATTAAATACATTTCAGAGAGGCAGCAGTGTTTTGTGTCATTAGGAGACAAAATTTCCTGCCAAATTGTCTCTCTCCTCCCTTTGCTTCTGTGCCTCTAAGTCCTACTCTCAGTTTTGAAATATGTGTGAACCAGGAGACATGTCGGGAAGCAAACACAAATATATCACAGGTAAATCACACCCATTTTCCAAGCATGGACATTGGCACAGTTTTTATGAAGGGAATGTTTCTTTGTAATGATCTTTGCCCACATCAACCCTGCTTACCAATGGTTTTAGAAAACAGGCTCTGACAGGAGGGACATTCAGCACTGAAGACCAGGATGCCAGGGGGAATAATGACTTATTACCAATAACTCATTTTGGATCATAGTGGAGATTTATTCAGCTAGATGCTCCTGGTTCTGAGGCCTGGCAACTGTGCAAGAACGCAGATGTGGTATCGCCTCTGCAGTGGCTACAGAGACAAGAGTTTTTAAACACATTTTTTCCCCCATAGATTTTTTTGCAATGGAAGGAGAATATCAGGGAACCTGGAAATCAATATTTTTTTTTTTTTTTGCTTTTTTCTTCTAACCACTTTAAAACAGATTCAGAGTTTGTTTTGCTAAGGAATTTGCTGGCAACACACAAATAACTTTATTTTCAAGGTAAAATGAACAAGGGTGGTATGACTATGCGCACACTGGCTACCTTTCTGGATTTGTCCTGCTGTTTTTTTCTCATCGCTGTTTTTGCTTGATGTAAGTATGACGATTCCCATTTAGGATGCCTTTTGTTTTGAAGGAAAACCCAATTTGAAAGGGAAAGCCAGTACAAGGATCCAACTATGGAGTATGAGAAGGAAACCTCCATTTGGCTCCTCTGCTTTTCATTTTGGGGACTGACCTTTACTGTTTACTTACAGACTCACAGAGCTGGAAAGAAAAGGACGGTTATCTAACTTGCCTCCCCATTTTAAAGTCAAGAATTTTTGGATTCATTCATGAAATGCAAAAATCACTGCGGCACTGCAATTATTACTCAACATTTCCTATTATGAATATTTCTTTATTCTAGCTCTAATATTGCTGTTTATTACAAAGAACATTCTTTTCAGCAAGGTATATCTTAAAAGTGCATGGCAGTTGGAAACTTTATTTTTAAATATATTTGCGAGTAACACTGTCCGACTTTGAAGCCCTAGGTTCCAACTTAGGAACATATGTGCGCGTTTTTGTAGTTACCCAGTGAGTGACCTTAGGGAAGGTCGCACCTCATCAAACTGGTGGTGTTATGTGCTGTGCAGTGTCAGGCCTGCTGAACCAATTAGAAAAGACATAAACTGAAATATGGGCTGTGTCTGGCTAGAATGAAAACTCAGATGTTATGTCTGTTTTTTACTTTGATATGTACCCTTGATCTTCAGCAACTTGGAGTGTTATGTTTTTTATGGCTTAAAAAGTATTTACAGGTGTGAGACCCTAATTCTTTAAGCAACAGGATTATTTCTTCACAATTCAGATAATCTAATAAATAAGATACTTGGTTTATCGACTACATCTTATTGTTACTGCTGGGATATTGCAGGATAAAATAGCAATATAGAAGTCTAGTCTTTTGTGGTTCAATGTTTAAAAATGTTTATGTAGGTATTTATTATTTATTTATATATCCACCCACATTTGAATGTATGTTAATTATAAGTCACATAACTGAAAAGTGGTATTGTAATCTTAAATTTTTATTCAAAGTCTGTAAACTAAACACAAATTTGAACACTGTAGACTTGCAAACCACAAACAGCAAACATAATAATCAGAAATGGGAAAAGTTTTTTCTCATGTGTTGTTTTTTTTTCCTGATATTAATTCTGTGGGATTCATTTAGAATATCAAAGTGAATTTTGGAGAGAAAAGAGAACCATGAACTACCAAATCCTGTGATCATTACCTCCACTGTATGGGGGAAAAGTTTTAACAGAAATATATGGGAAAATGTCATCTATAATAATAAAAACCTAAGCCTCTGTTATGGCAGAACGACCAGAACGACAGGTCGCTATGATGCACACTGACCACCAGGGGGCAGACGCTCAATGCAGGAGCTGCCCCCTGGTGGTCAGTGTGCTCCCCACAGGGGGAGTGCTGCTCAGCCAGAGCTGGACTCACGGTTGGCGAGCACAGCTGCCACGGTGTCGGAGCCTCTCCAGATGCCATAGCAGCACTACCGAGCGCAGCAGCAGGCACAGCTAGGATGAGCATGAGTGGT